AATAACTTCATAAATATGCAGCACTGCAGACTGCAGACTGCAGACGGCAATCGAAGCTTCTGAATTTAAATTCAAACTGCGGCAACAAAGACGGATTTAAGAACAATGCAATTATGATTCAGCTGTCAATTAAATGGCAAATTTACAGCACTTCAACTGCAGCAGCAGCAGCAGCAGCAGCAGCGGCATCTCTGAATGGAATACAAAAATAAAATGGAATAAAAATCATACAAAATATCGATAAAGCAAGCACACAAATTTATTGCAGAAACATATACACGCTGGCAAAATCGAGGGAGTTTTGAGCAGTTGAGCCCTGACAGTTCTACTGTGGCTTCTCTGTATAACATATAAAATGATATATGACTTCTAGATACCCTTTCAAATATTTTAAATATTTCTTTATAATTTATAAATACTTGTAATAATATTTGTAATATTTATTTATCATTTAGAAATACTTTTAAATATTAAAATATTATTTTAATAGTAAGAATATTTTATTTAAACTGTGAAATATGGGAAATTTGACTCTTTTGTCCTTTATATATTATATTATTAATGCTTAAGTTTAATAATAACAAATATCTCTTATTTTCAAAGTCAGTTTAAGCATCGAATGAAGATTATTGTCACATTATCTAAAGTACATAATTTTTAATCAAGTTTTAATGAAAGTTACATCTTAGTTTTCTTCATTATTTTGTATGAATATATTTAACATTTTCCCTAAAAAAATATTTTCTATTTAAAAGGTCTTAAAAAATGTTTTATCAGCTAACAAAATAAAAATCAAAATAATTCAAACCTTAAATTTTAGTCTAAAAGGTAGAGTATTAACCTATTCGCTTTTTCTTTAACTTTTCCCCGCATCTGGTGTGTTGGGAAATACTCGTAAATAAAGTATTTCCCTCCCCGCTTTTCTTGCCCAATGCCCTTGGTTTTCCTTCGTTGGTTGAGGGCAGCGGCAAAACGATGACGAGCTGACGATGTCGTTGTAAATACCATAAAGAAAATCGTTGCCGACGTGCGGCGCGCCGTCCCAGTGTCTGTGTGTCCTGTCTGGGAGGCCAGAAAGGAAGAAGAAAGGAGCAACTGCAACTGCAACTGCTCCAGGAGGAGCAGGAGGAAGCCCTGCGAAAAGTTATTTATTGGAATTGTGTAATAAATGTGACCGAAAGTGCACTCGACGTAAACGAAATATGGCAGCGCGGCCCTTAAAGTACCAAGTTTCAGGCATTAGGAGAAGAGGAGATGCAAATGAACCAGGACATGGACATGGACATGTTCGGACCCACGTCATCCTGCGAGTGTCTTGCGGTGTCTTCCTTTTTTGGAATACGTATGACAGCAGAGAGTGTTGTGACATGTCAAGAGTGAGAGGGGGGACATATCCCTAGCAGCCAGAGATCTTCATTATCTCAGGGCTTCCATTTCAATTTGGACCTCATCTGTCAGGTCCTGAATGTGCTGCGGGTGTAAAGGAAAGGACAAGGATCTCATGAGGACGAAGTGAGTTAGTAGAGCTTCCTTGGGAAATGTAATTGTTTTAAAATATATAAAACTAAGCAGCTAAACTCTCACTCTACGACCCTCGTCAATCCATCAATAACTACGTGCTTATGTAAGCTAATAGTCCTGTGCTAAACGGAGTTGTCACGCGTGATTACCCAACGTCCTGGCAGGACATTTCATGAACCTGTCACAAGGATGCTGGGCAAACATTTCGTATGATCGCGCGGACAGCTGGTTAAGCTATATACGATTATGAGGACTACGTGATCACTGGGTATTGGGTAAAGGATAATGCAGGTGCATGGGGTCAAGTCAAAGCAAATTGCATCTGCCTGTGAATATGTGCATATGTGAGTATGCTTATATATATATTCAAATCCATGTGTAGATGTCTAACCATAAATTGTGACCAAGCCAAGGCAAGGACAAGGAAGCCAGCTCTGGTTCAGCCAACTTGGACAGATTCTAGCCCAAGGAAATGTGGGAACTTGCTTTTAAATTATTAAAATGGAGGTTTAATTTTGAATACAAATGTGATCTATGTATTCCTTGTTAGTTATTATATTAAAAAAAAAATAAATTTCGTGTTCAAATTAACCCTTAAAGTTGTTTCCTGCTAACAAGTTTTATAATCAACAATATCTTTTGATCAAGAATACATGTCCTGTAATCTATAATAAACCAATAAACACCCTTATTACATTAAATTTATAATTAAAATACAATATTATATTTAAAAAACACCCCTTTGCCATATTAATTTCCCTTTAAAATGATTTTAAACTTCACCAAAAACTTGCAACAATGCCGAAATTCAGACAATAAATGAGGCTTATGTATTTAAAAACATTTCTTTTTTTTTATATATTGTTAATCCATGTCTCGGCCATTATTGTTTTTGCCTACGGCACCACTGACCTGGCACCACCCACTTGTTCAGCAGGTCCTTGGGGGCTCTGTCTGATATATATGTATATACATATATGTATCACACACAGGTGCAGCTTGCTTTGTCCCGAAAATTTCCATCGATTTGATTTATATGGAAAATATTTAAATTTTATTGCCAGCTTGCATATGGCCCAGACAGACGGACAGAGCAGGACCCAGGAGGCTTAAGTGAGATCGATAGTTATAGTTACACACATACACACACACACAGAGAGAGAGTTTCCTCCCAAAAGGAAAGTGGGGGAAAACAAGCCCAAGGGTTGTGTAGAGATAATTTATGCAGATTTCGGTAATATTGAAAACGAAATTTAAATGCAAACAAGGGAAAGTGTTGGGAAAGCCTGCAACGCAACCCAAACTAAACTAACCTAACCCTCACCTGTTTTCCATCCCATTTTGGTTTCTGCTTGTGTTGTGGAAAATGGGAAATGGGGAAATAAGGGCCTTCGAGTCTTGAGCTAATCAGATGCTCGGATGGTGGAAGTTCTAACATTTTGTTTTTATTATGTCGCCAAGCAGGAACACAAATAAAAAAAGAGCGGAAAATGGGAAATGGGAAATGGAAAACGGGAAAGGGCCGGAGTCGGTACCGGGGCGAAGGCGAAGGCGTGGGCCTGTCAGAAATTATGTTGATTGTTTGCTCTAGCCAAGGAAATAATTAAGCAAGACGTGCCAGCCAGCAAACGGAGACACCGACAAGAAACTCCGGCGCTTCTCGCTGGCGCCAAGTCAAAAAATATATATACATATATTTGTACACACAGAAATATTAAAAAAAAAATACAAGCATACATTTGTGCACAGAAAAGAATTGTTTATTTAATAGCTTGAATTTATTTATATTTAAGAATTATTTTTATTATGTATAATAAGAAATTTTGTTTACCTTTTTTTCTTTTTCATTTTTAAATAAAAATCAATCTTAATTTTGAACTTCTAAAATTGTGAAAAAAATTATTATACACTAGGAATAAAGAACTTTGATAAATAAAATATAGCAATTTATTTTATTTATTTATTTACAAATTATACATATTTTTATTCACACTATTCTCTTGTGAAATCAACTGCTGAAAAATTTAAATAAAAATAGTTCTAAATTATGTTAAGGTAATAATTATAATAATAACATATTAGTAATATATAACATATAATATAATATAAAATAATATATTTGTAATATTTATTATGTATAGTTATATATATAAATATAATACATCCGCCTGATGTGAGCCACAGCATATCATTCAAAAACACCCCTTAATAAACCTTCCATAATATTTTCTTATAATATGTTTTTTAATAGTATTAATGTAATTATTATTTTCCAAAAATCTTTTAAATTCACAAATCAAAAGTTCGAAAATCAATGCAATTTATCTTGAATAACCTCATACTCTCACATATATTTTTCTCGCTGCATTTATCTGCCTCATTGCCCTGCAAGAACACAAAATTCGAAATTGTCAACAGCTTTTTGTGACTCACTGTGCTTTCACATAAATATATATATATATATATATATATATATATATATATATAAGTACCGCTTTTTCTTGGCTGTTCCAACTCAAGTAATCTAATTAGTCAGCCGCTTGGAGCTGCTGTTTTGATTTACATTTCAAGCTGCCGCCCCTGGAAATTAGCCAGCGAAAAAAAAGGAAGTCGTCCTTGATTTTTATGGCAACGCCAACGCAACACGGAAAATATGCAGTTGGAAATTCATTTGGAATGCCACCTCGTACTAATTTCCGCACAAAATTGATCGGTGACCGCCGCTCTTCTCTCTTTTGGGGCATTATTTTGGTTCACTTTATCGCATTTCATTAGCCACACATACACACACACACACACACACACACACAGGCTTTTCCAATTTCCCATTTTCATTTGTTACCATGTTCATTTCTATTTAGTTTGTTTCGCCTTGCATTTTCTAATTCCCCCACGCCAGCATTTGCATTGCCTTCCCCCGGGGCGCAGCTTCCACAGGGATTTAATTTATTTATTGCGTATACGCCGCGTTGGCAATCGAAGCTTTCGAACAGCCTTTGTCCTGATCGGATCCCTTTGTTTGACGCAAGCTGGCCAAATATTTGACAGGCACAAAAGCGTCGGGGGGGGGAATTCATTCTTGATGAGCGATAAGTCTCGTCTCGCCAGGACCATGAATAAATTAGTTAGCGACTTTTATAGCTCGGTCGAGAGGTAAGAAAATATTCATAATTGTTTTGGGAAAAATACAGAAAAACTATAGGACCACAAAGCAAAAAAGTTAATACCAAAGCATGTCTTGATATCTATATATAACACATTAAAGTCGGCTTTGGCAAATAGTTTAGTACCATCAAACCCACCTCCAGTAGTACTGGCATCTCCCTTGGCATATTTACATATAAATATTACGCGAAAACTATATTACCAAAAACTTATTAAAATGGACCTTGAATCGTTGATGAACAAGGAGAAGCAGGAGTGGGCCGGATTCCCTCTCTGAGCTATTCCGCTCACTGATTGGCTGGACCAGACCCATTATGGATGTCCTCACCTGGCAGCTGCCCATTGTCTGCGGTTCCTGGCTCATACTTGGCCTGGCCGCCATCTACTTGCTGACCAACTTTAGCCTGCCCAGCCTCTTGGGCCTGGCGGGTCTGATCATCATCGGTCTAGTCATGCTCTATGCTGCAATTCAGCGCGTCGAGCCCTACCAGGAGCTCAAGGATCATCCGTTGATGGCGGAGATGAGATTGCCGCCCGAAACAGTGAAGCTAATGGCCGACAGGATGCACAACTGGATTAACCGCTGGCTGGCCACCGGACAGTACCTGATCTTTGACCAGGATTATCGTCCCAGTATTCTTTTGGCCATCACTGCATCCTTTTTGTCTGTGACTTGTGCCTACTTTGGCAGCACCACGGTGATTATGATGGGTAAGTTGACTGGGGTTATTATATGGTTATTATAATTATTAAAAAAATTTTTTTTCCTTCTTCTTAGCTCATTGCTTGGTCTTTTTTCTGCCCACATTGTGGCCGCACTTGGTTCGTGAGTGGAATCATGTCAAACGCCTGCCCTGGCCGCCGCGCATGATGCGTTTAAGGTTCCAGAAGCAGAATGTCATGATGCTCAGCCAGGAGATCATTTACGAGGAGGATATTACAGATAAAGAAAAGAGGATAATGCAGAAAATCAACAGCCGGAGGAAGTCAGAGGTATTTAGAGAAGTGTCAGGATCAGAAGCAGGAAGAACACACCAACACCAGAGACCAGTTAAACAACTTAAACAAACTTGCACTCATTCAATCACATCGACTTTAAATCAGTTCTTTATATTTTAACCCTCATGTTGGCTGCACAAATGTGAAATTTACAATCACTTTTCTATCCTATATACATAACAAAAACCCTTAACACTGTCACACAAAGTTGGAAGTATTATTTAAAAAATTCAAGTATTTAAAGATTGTTTTTATAAAGAAATAAAAATATTGTACAACATTTTCAAAAACAAACTATTAGCTCTAAATCAAAGGATATAGTAAGTAATGTGGCCTGCGTAAGCCCAATTCCACTCAATTTGTATACCCAAAATATATAGCCAGAGATATATACCCAGCGATATTAGCCAGATATTGTGTGTGAGATTCTGTCGTTGGGGAATTTAATTAAAGCCTTGTGTTCCTGTTCCTGTTCGAGGGTTCCTTTTCGGGGACGATAAACATCGCGACCAGAACGTGACAAACGACGATGAAGTTGAAGGCGGCAAAGCAAACAAAGATATGGCCCAGGCCCAGGCCCAGGCCCAGGCAATGTGTCTTGGCAATGAATGGGGGCGTGGCAACTGAGCCTTTGCAGTGTGGTTAATCATTAAAGCCGCCCCCTTGGGACCACCGCGGCCGTGTGCCTCAAGACGGTCAGATTTATTCAGGGAAATCCCTGCGGCTCACAGGGGCATTAAAAATTTAGTGACCTCACACAGCACAGGAAGTGCACGAAAATCGAAAGGCGACAGGAAGTGGGTTCAGCTGTGAGGGTTGCGGAGGTTGTGTCGGAGGTTCGGGTTGGGGGGTGCTGCGAATGCAGGTCCTTTCCTTCTTGCAATTTGCACTCAATTGCAATTTCCGTTCGCCGGCTACCATTTGCTACGTGGCTGCTACGTGAGAAGCCCCACCATCAACCACCCACCTGTTCTGCACCACCCCCCTTGCAACCCATTTTCCACCCGCTCTGTCTTCCCAGCCCCCCTGCCTACGTGCTAAGCGCGGCGGCACAAAACGCGCAGAAATTTGTTTTGCCATTTTGTTTAGTTGTTTCTGGCAGGGACACCTACCTCCTCCCTCAATCCCTCCCTCTATTCCAGTTTGTTGTTTTTTTAAATATCAATATAAAACGTGACAGAATGGACTTTTGCCTCGACAAAGCTCAGGAAGCACTAAGGATGGCCGGCACTGGGAGAAAAGGTGGAGCCATAAGTGGCACAGAGATACTTTTCCATCTTCTCTGACGAAATATCTTGGGATTTATGTTTTTAAATTAAAACGTTCTTAAATAAGTTGATTAATTCCGGTAAAGAAACGGTCTTGACAACATCTAAGCCTTGAAATATAGGATAAATTATAGAAATCTTTCAAAAGAAAATAAAACATAAAACTGATTTCCCAATTCTGTATTCTTTATTTAATTATTATTTATATATTATTTTATATTCATTTTAAACTTATTAATACCATATTTCTTCGAGTGCAGCGTTTAAGGCCAACCTGGCGAGTTGGGAACTGAAATTCTGTAAGCGGTTTAACTGCTCAGCGATGGGCAGGCATAAGTAGTAGGCGGTGGCGTCGGCCAGGTCGAAGGGAAGCGGGACTTCTGTTCGGGGTTCACGCATTATAATCCGTTTATGGACGGCATCTCGTGTCACCCCCTTTGGCGGAAATCCAAGGAAACGAGGGAAAGCTGAGCCCCAATCCCAAGGAGGCATCGCGGCGCTGATTTGGCCAAATTTCTGCACCTTTAAACCGAAGGATTAGGGAAAGGAAATCTAAGGTTTTCAGTAGGTGTATAAAATATATGTCGATTTTACAGATTATTCGACGGTTTCCCAGATTTTCCAGGTTCAAAGAAACCAAAATAGTTTAGAAATTGTTTTCAACTAAATAATAAATATTTAATATTTTTAAATTTAAATATAATAAAACAAAAAAGTCAAAGAACATGTTCTTCAATACAATGTATCCTTTCATAAACCCCACTATATCATTCCGTTGAACTTTAATTTAAACCGCAAAAGAGGAGCTCTTTCCATTCAAAATCAAGTCTTGGACAGGCATATGTGGATCCATATCCCCATCCGGGGATCCCCCTTTGACGGCCCCGGGGTCGCTACTCCTTCAGTTTTTGGCCAAATGGACTGCTTTTGAAAAGGGGACTCGGCATTATGGCGATTTGAATGGCAGTGGAAAATCAGACTGCTGCCATCATCGCATCACTGAGGTTTCCATGGCTGCGCATTGTGTGCATAAATGGTGGAAATAGGGGACTACATATATGATGAGAGCGGGGGGGAGTTGGAGGACGGAAAATGGTGCCCGAGGCGGCGGTGAAAATTGCATTCAGTGAGTGTTTTATGGCCATATATTTGGCTGCGACTTTGACTGCGAATGCGACTGCAACTGCGAGTGCTTTATGAATGCATAATTTTATTATGCACAACAAATTCTATTTACAACGCGACACGTTGCGTGAAACGGTTCATGGAGCGCCTAATGCGAGGGTTGCTTCAACAGTTCAGCTAACTGAAAATGGAATATAAAGGGATGTGATTTTGTTCCTGAAACTTTTAACGTATTTTTTCATTTTGTGGATCTTTGAAAGTTGTAATATGTAAATATTAAGTAAAGTTTGTGAGATCTCTGAATACACAGATTTATTCATCGAGGAATCAAGTGTATAAAATTTATGCTCAATCGTATCGATTTACAAAACTAAATCACACATTACATATTGCTGTGTGTGTTTCCAAATAAATTTGTACATTATTAAGCTCATTTGCCGAGATTGTTGTGTGTGTATATAAAATTTGAACATTTTTGTATAAAGTCTTATAAAATATAGGCCCTGAAGACTCGGGCTACTTCCTCCTCTTCTCCCACAAATTGCGCTTGGCTGGCGGTTCCTTTTCTTTGGGTGATTTCAGGGCATCCGCAAAGCCCGCCACCGCCTCTAGGAACTGGCTGCGGCGTCCCTTCCTTGCACCCAAGCTAGGGGATTCTTCCTTTTGTCCAGGGATCTTGGCTGGAGGATCACCTTCTTTAGCGGGTCTGGTTTCCGTGAGGGTTTCCTCCGCCACGTCCCCTCCACCAATAAGTAGGAACTTTAGGGGCTTGTCCTCCTTGGGGATAGTGGGTGGTGTTAGGCCCTTAAATAGGATTTCCCCCAAAAACTGAATCTCGCATTGTTTCCCATCCAGGCCACTGTTGTTGTCAGCTAAAGTTGGAGTGCCTTTCACCTCTGTGGCTGCCTTTTCCTGGGCCTTCAGTCGCGCCGCACGAATTCTCTCCTTCTTTTTGAAATTCTTCCTCTGTTTCTTGGCCCTTTTCGCGGCCAATTTCTGGGGATCTAAATGGTCTTTAACCTTACCAGCTGGCTTAGAATTGATCTCCAGCGGAGGTGGTGGCTCCGCCCCTGGCTCGTCCAGCAGCGCGAACATATTGCCGGCTATTAGCATCGGTTCCGACTTGTTTTGCTTCAGTCCTCGGAGGGAATGCCTCTTCATTTGCCCACCGGAGTCCATATTAACTTGCCGACTGTTTAAACTCATCATTTTTTTATTGGCGGAACTTAAAGATCGGCTTGGCGGAGCCTTCAGAGCCCGCGAACAGGCTGGAACCCTTGAAACTCCTGGCTCGTTCGACTGAGCTCGATTCTCTTCAATTCGCATCGAGTTTTGCAGGATCTGTTTGGGTTGAAAGGTCGAGTCTTTACTTGGGAATTTCTTTTGAGATACCAAAGAAGCAATCGAATCTCTAGAACTGGTAAGACCGCCCCTAAGGGAATGGCTCTTTTGGGCCAAGGAGAATTTGGTGGTGGATGCCCGGGTGCCCAAAGGCGGCCAGGAACAGGTGTCGTCAATGGTTTTAGTTATCTTAAATGAATGCAATAAGAAAACTCCAAGTATGTAGAGGAGATATGGTTTTACATAGTATTTACCTTCGGAGTGGTAGGTGGATCTGTGACGGCTTCTTTGGGTTTCCAGTGAAGAGAGTTCCCCTCCGATTGAGTTGGCTTCGTGGCCACAAGTTGATCAGGATCGCTTAAGCCTTTGGTTGCCTGATCACAAATGAGATCATTCCCCTCATCCTCCTCCTCGAACCATACTCCAGCTGACTGCGGGGACAAGAACTCCTCCTGCGTCAAGGTTCGACTGGTAGATGGTGACACCTGCATGGATTCGGGATCGTCAGACGCGAGTTCTTCATCCGATTCCCAGGGATCAACAGTCTGTGTATCTTTATCTGATATTAAAACACGCTGGACGGTGGGTCGACGGTGGCGCAGGCGTGTTCTTTGGCGTCGTGGGAGGCGGCGTCTATGAATATACTGGACAAAGCGGATTCCAGGATTAAAATTAGGGTTTCTAAATGCTTCTAAGTAATAAATCAACTGCCTATAAAGCTTCATGAAAAGCGAATATGTTGCAAGCTAATTAATTAAATAATTTCTCTATCTTACCCCACGGATAAGGTTCAACGCCTCATCCATCAGATCACCCACATCACGACGTCTCTCCGCCACTGCAATGTCCACGCAAGACAGACCAATGTCAATGGTTATCTTGTTATCGCATCTGGTGGCATAAATGCCGGGCCCCAGATTGATCTCTACCACCTCGTCGGGTTGTGCGGCGTCTTCCTCTGGCCTAGCAGCCTCCACTGCGGGGGAAACTTGCGCCACTTGGTTCCTTGGGGATTCTATTGTTGGTGCCTGGCCTAGGAGAGGAACCTGACTAAGGAGAGGTGCCTGCCCCAGGAGAGCTGCTGGCATTGCCTGGGTTGCTGCCACTGTTTGGGGCGCTACGTGATATCGCTGAGATCGCAGCGATGGTCTGACCCGCTGCTGCTGCGAATAGGATGGAAACGAGATAGGCTGCTGTTGTTCCGATTGAGGAAAGATCTGCTGAGGCTGCTGATAAGGATAGGCTTGCAGGATGACCTGCTGCGGCTGTTGCTCTTGCGATGGATACGCTGGCAGCAGTATAAACTGCGGCTGGGATGTACCGGATGAAGGCATAGGCTGCTGTAATTGATAGGATTGAGCCAATATTTGGCTCTGCTCCTGCTCCTGAGAAGGAAGCTGCTGCTGCTGCTCCTGCAAGGAAAGCTGCTGCTGCTCTTGCAAGGGATATGAAGACGATCCTACCTGTTCCGATTGATAAGATAGGGGCAGGTGCTGCTCTTGCTCTGCCTGCGCGGTCATGTAATATTGTGGCACGTGCTGCTGCTGCTCTGGCTGCACTTGCTCCGGCAGGCTGGCGTTATACCAACAACCTCTGAGGTAATAGCCCGGTGTGGTGCCAAAAGTCGTGGGTGTCCTTGAGAATGTCGGTGTCTGGGACTGCACATATCGGGTAGGAGTGCTCTGGGACTGTACATGCCGGCTAGCAGGGCTCTGAAACTGGCGTCCGTGCCAGGCACTCGACGAGGCCGGCCCGCGTCTTTGGAAATGCGCAGGCGCATGGCGCTCTGGCGGTGCGCCTGTGCACGTGTAGCGCGGATGCTGAAATTAAATATATATATCATTAGATTCTTACATGCTTTATATAACAGTCGCTTTAGAAGTCCATTTACTTTAACGTATCTGTGGTTATAGTTCATTGTTTTCGTTGGAGGTTATTTGTTTGTTCACAAATTAAATTTTCACAAAACTTGTCGGAGATGAAAACGGAAATAGTGAAGTGAGACGCAATGCAACGCTTTGGGGCAGTTACACACGTCACAAATAAACATATCGATAACATATCGTAGAAGACTCCACTAATTTTTTAAAGCACATGCACATTCATAATTTTAATAATTAAATAAAATATATTTACTTATAAAAATTCTAGTTTGCCACTTTATTGTTCACCTTTTCAATAAATGACTAAAATATTCTTGTGAAAGTCACACGCCTATGAATGCTGTTTTTCTGCCTATCGATTACAACAAGCTTGCTTTTTCTTACTATCGCACGACTGTACTGTACGATAACACCTCGCTGGCCATGTGATTGTAATTAATATTTGCATTTCAATTGCATTTTCGCTGGTTGGCAGTAAGCCCGGGCTTTGTGGCCAATGGCCAAATATTTGCATCCGTCCACCCACGCACCCAATTATCACATATGGCGGGACATTAGTTAAACATTTAACCGTCCATATGTATTTTAATAACTATTTCGCCACCCGCAAAAACAATTTCCCAGTTGCAGCTCTTTCTCTCTCGCTCCTTCCTGTTAATTGTGGAGGTTTAGTGGGCGTGGCCGATTACGTGTTTATTGGCTCCCTTAACCCAACCAAATACTAGGCTCGAATTGGATTTGCAATTGTCGAAAGGCTTACACAGCAAGAAAAGAATTCCACGAAAAGTTCGGAAGCTTTAATTTGATTTAAAATAATATTTAAAATAGAAAAGTGGAATTTTAAACCCTTTTAGGGTATTTAATTTAGACGGAAACTTAAAACGCAGTAAAGGAGTCGATTCCGACCTTATAAAGTATTTATATAAGTATGTTCAACAGCCGAGTCAATCTAGCCATGTCCGTCTGTCCGTTTCTGAGCAAACTATTCCCTCAGTTTGAAAGCTATCTGAATGAAACTTTGCAAATAGTCTTCTGAATAATCTCACTTCTTTATATCTAGGAACGAGCCGGATCGGACGACTACATCATATAGCTGCCATACAAATGATCGACAAATTTTTAGAAAAATGAATTATAACTTGACTGTTTTTCAACCTATTTTCATCTACTTTGAGATGTGGCCATTTTTTATTATTTCAGAATTTCCATTTTAATTTTATAAAAGTCGGATGTCTATATCTTATAGCTGCCATAGAAACGATCGGAAGATGTAAATCATAAAAATGAAATTTGCACTACGCAAACTCTCCATTTTCTTCCTCTGCATCCTCAAATTTTTTTCAAATTTTCAAGATTTTTTTTCTTTCCGTGAAAGCCCCTTTCTGTGGGCATCTGGTTATGGCAACCCGGCGATGATTGCTTCCCTGAGGGCGCCCGGCATCGACATTGACATGGTCCAGTGCGTATAAATCAACAGCTGCAGCAGGTTTGCTCCTCTCAAAAGGAGACAGGGGAAGGACTAAAAAGGGGCAGGAGGAAACGGAAAAGGAAGGAAAGGACGATGGGATGGCTCTTGGACAAAAGTCGGGAACAGCGGGTTAAAATCTTTTCAAGTGGTCAACGCTCGCAAATCCCTGTGTCCCAGCCTCCCAGCAGTACATCCCTACACATCCCGCATCCTTGTGCCTTTGCGGTTGAATTAAGTCAAACAAAAGGTACTGGAAGAGTGCTGGGGAATGTAGGAGAGGCTCTGCTTAGATTACGCATACGCCGTGTTGAGCAGTCGCTCCCCCGGTGAGTAGAGCAGGGGGGGAGGCGAGGTCTCGGGAATGAGGTCGAAAAAAAAAAGAAAGTGCAACTCACATGCAGGAAGGGAGCGAAGCTGGAGTAACGAAAAAGGGCAAACGCAAAATGTAAATGGGTCTTTCACAAAATGAATATTAAATTGCAAGTCCTCCTCGAGGAGACGTAAAGTGAAGGAAGATGCACTGTGGGCGGGGCAGTGCAGCTTAGCCAAAGGGTGTTAGACATGTCTGAGCCGACATTACACACATGGCCGAAGCGGGGGGTTTGGCTTAGAAGCGAAGCCCTTCTTGCCGGGCCTTGATTTCGAGTGGGTTTTGGTTTAGGGGTTCTCCGATTCGGTCTGGATACCTAAATCCTGTTATCCAAAGGACTCGGATTCTTTTGGAATATGATTATCGCTGGGAAAATGCACAGCCTGTTATGAAGGGGTTACAATAAATATTTTCGGCAAATAATAAAGTTCGCAGCATCGGTCTGGCAGGAGAAATCTCTCTAATGAGCTCATTGGCACGCCAATCTCTCTCTCTGACGCGTTTACGCCCCCGGAAAGTTGCTCCTTCGGCAGCAGCAGCTAATCCCAATTAGAAGCCGCCGCAAACCCGACTAATTAGCATTGGCACAATCTCGAATATCCGATGTGTAAAAAGCTGGGGATTCTGTGCAGCTTCCTGGAAAACCCAACAAGTTTCCTCTCCCTCCCCCACCTCAGAATGAGTCCCTGTCATATGACATGGCATATGCATTGTTTTCAAAATGATTTGCGGCTGTAATTTCTTGAACAGAGGCGTAGGAGGCCGTGTGTAGTTACTTTGTCGTCGTTTCCTATTTTTGTGGCTTTCGCTGCACAACTTGAACAGTTTCTCTGCCAGTTCCAGGATTCCTTCTCGGTCGGTTCTTAGCCCCTCCTCCGTATTGCCACTCTATAGTTCCCCCGCCCCTGTCAACGATAGCCACAAAGTGTGCAGCAAGTAAGAGGCCGCCACAAACCGCATGCCGTTCCAGCCGAGGCATCTTCTTTGGATGGAGAATACACTGAGACAGGTCTCTAAATTGTTGGAAAATATTTAAAATCGTATACTTTACAACATTATTTTAATATTTACCGGAGTTTTTAGCTTACTTGTTAACTGCTTAACCCCATAAATGCTTAATTTGCATGCTAATGCCTTCCCAGGATGCTATTTTCCGGTGTACGCTCCGCTCCCTGTTCTCCATTCTGTGTGTGTTTCTTTAGTTGAGGCGCCAAAACAAAGCAGAAACTTCGCTTGGTTCAACATTTCAACTGCTTGGAAATTTATTCATTCCCATACTCATACTCCTACCCATACTCCTACCCATTCTCATACCCATCCACATTCACATTCACATTTCCTTGTATATCCTGGCATCCTAGGGCTCCTTCTGCATTTTGCCAGTCGTTTTGTATTTGAGCATTTTGGTATTTGAAGTCTCCTTGCTGCAGCAAAAACTTTTGTCGAGCAAATAAGTAAATTTTTAATTGAAACTCACATGTAAGAGGCCCTGGGAGCATCGAGCATTTTGTCAGTGGCAAAATTTGATAATTCAAATGGCATAGAACGTTTAATAATTGATGTTGCTCACACCTTCGCTCTGGCTCTGGCTGAATTTAATTTCTCTTGTCGAAATCAATTAAAATGCCTTTCAAAATTTATCACCTGCAAAAGCGGACGATTTGCGAAATTGGACTGTAAGCCAGCCAGTCCTTCGTCTCCTTCAATTACTCTCTCTCTCTCTCTGGCCAACTTTGAATGGAAAGTTTCTCCACCCTTTTCGGCCAAGTTAACAAATCTTTTTTCCTCGTGCTCTCCGCTCCCAGAAGTTGAGGTAAGTTGTGTACTGAAGTCGAAAGTTTTCCAACACATGTCGGGGCGGCAGCAAAAGGGTTCAAGTTCTGCTTGGAGCTGGGACAAATATTTTTCAACAACTTCCAAATGTTGAGCTTCGAATGCAACTAAGTAAATGCAACTGGCAATCCACAATTCTGGCAATTTCAGGTGTGCTTGAAATAATACAGAAATGGTGAAGAAAGGTAACTAGGGCATGCCAAAGTTTTTATACCCTTGCAAATGGTTTATTTATATTCAATTCTATCAATTTCGTGCAAATGAAACAATAACTAACACTTGACTAAAATATATAAGATTTGTTTGGAAGAGCACAGAACTTTTATAGAGTTTCTTAGACTCTTATATAAGAGATTGCTTGTAATCAACATAGTTTCGATTTTATAAAATATTAAACATTTTAAAACAGTTAAAAGCTATAATTATCTTATCATTTATTTCAAATGTAAAAAATAGGTGAACCTTAAAGCATAATTGTATAATTTATAATTTTTGTAGTAATAAGTTTAAATACCCCAAAAAGCTTGTTTTAAATTGATAAATCTTAATCTACAAAAGATTTACAGAATGTCTTACTGGGCTTTTATACTTTTGATTATACTTAAGACTGATGCTGCAAGGTAAATAAATAAACTAAATATTATTTTACATTTTTTTTTTGCTTGTACAAAATCAATTTTAATTGGAAATATAACCATTTGATGGTTTCAACTTTCTTGCTTTGACAATCAGTGTTGGCTAAATGTGAGCTGGTTGCAGGACGTTGCAATGTTGCTGTTGTTGTTGCTGCTTTTGTTGCTGTTGCTGCTGCTGCTGCGATGTTGCTGCTTTTGTTGCTGTTGCTGCTGTGATGTTGCTGCTAATTTATCTGGCGAGTGCGCCAAACGCATGTAAACAAGCTTCTGGCCAGGCATGTGTTTTTCCTGCAGTCCTTCTCCTCTTGGAATAAAAACAGCCAACGTTCAGCTCCCACACCCACCTGGCCCACATAAGTAGGCAATGGATTTTGGCGATCAATAGAAAATCCCTGAGGGGATCCTGTGTGTGTGCGTGTCTAGGTGTGGCACTCGAAGATCAAAGGAAAAAAATTCGAAAAAATAAAATTCTGAATTATACAAATTAGATTTTAAATTTTTTTACCAAAATTATAGAACCATAAAACATTGGTATTCCCAAAGTAAATACAAATTTAATTAAAATTTAATTTAGTTTGTTTATTTCATTTATTTTTGAATACCGATCAAGAGTATATGAATGCCTTCTTTACTCCGTAACAAATAATAATACCTTGAATGGGCATAAGAACTCACATATTTTCGCACTGTGTATTAGCCCTCTCCAAACTGTAATGGCCACAAATTAAAGGGCTCGGACAAAAGCTTAACTTTCATTAATCGTGTCAAATGTCAGCGCACAGATTTCCCGCCAAAACAGGGC